GCCTGACTTTATAATATTTACCATGAATATGGAGCAAGCAATTGCTGCTTGTATAACATGGGGTGCATTACTTTAATTCTCTTGAGTGTTCCTCTTTTGGAAAGAAGCACAACTTACCCTATCGTAAAGATGAGAGATAAGGCCTATAAAGTGTTCCCCCGAATTCCTGGCACACAATAGCTGCTCAGTAGGGCACAGTAAGTGCCTGAAAAGATAGGGAGACAAGTCTGGGGCCAGGCCAACTGGCCCAAGATTTATCTTGGCTCTAGCCTTTATTAGTTGTATGAGTTGGGGCAAGTACTTTACTCTCTGGGTAGTTTACTGTCTCAGCTTCCTCCCCTGGTAAGCTGGGGTATGATCACATACCTACATCACAGGATTATTAGGTGGACAAGATGAGTCAATACCTGTAATGTGCTTTTGAACACTTATTAAGATATTTGGTTTAATAAAGATTAGTAATTATTTTATTGCTATTCCTTTCAACTGCCAGAGACTCCTACCTGGTTTTGAAGTGCTATATTATAGCCAGGGAGTCATATCTCACCATATGTATAAAACACATTCTACAATGCTGTCATAACAACTGTTTTCAGTTTTCCATGGTTCTGGCTCTGTAACTAATAAATTCCTTAGAGCCTTCAAGTAGTAATTACTTTGTTTGGCTATTTTGCTAGAAGATAGTAATTCCTAGTTCTTGACTTCCTTCCTTAAGTGTTTGTGGATTCCCTATAGAATATGGGGAGGAGGAATTCTTTGGAGGCCAAATAGGAAATCATGGAGAAATTAGGATTTAACAATACTGTCTCTTACTCTCTGAAATAATTGTATGGTACAGTGGTTTTGTACAAGTGAATCTCTGGGCAACTAATTTCAACCGAAGTCTTTTTGCATGTGTGTGTGTGTGTGTGTGTGTGTGTGTGTGTGTGTGTAGTGACATGGCTAGTGCTCCTTCTGCTCAACATACATAGTGACCGATATAGAGGCCATCTAAAGAGCACAATGAAGGATCTTCACACCCAAAGTATACAAAGAAGGAACTCGACAAGAATATATCTTACTCACTAATTGTAACAGAAATGCAACTGAGAAACAGCTAATAAGTTTATATAGAGTGAAGAAAATTCTAAGGTAATTGTACTACTAACTTCTATCAATTACTTCTTTGAAAGGAACTGTTAGTGCTTCCCCTGTTTGATCAATTTTGCATGCCTGTACCTGGTAATCTGAGCAACCACTTTGAAGATAGCAATATGCAACATAATAACCATTGTTAATTTCCTACCATCTTGTTTTGGAATTCTGTATCATTTTTGGTTTTTTGTCTCTTTAAAATAAAAAAAAAAGAATTTAAGGGATGACTTTTACAAAGAAGCAACTTTTAAAGCCAGGCACGGTGCACATGCCTATAATTCCAGCATTCTGGAAGGCTGACACAGGGGGGTTGCAAATTCAAATGTGGCTTGTGTAATTTAATTACTTGGCAAGACCCTGTCTTAAAATAAGGAGTGAGTAACACAGTCTGGGGATGTAGCTCAGTGTGAAGGACCTGGGTTTCATCTCTAGTATCACAAAAAGGAAAAAGAGACATTTATAGTGAACCGAAAAAACAGAGAAGAGAGGAAACAGTCTGACATGAGAAAAGAAATGAAAAGCTGCAAATACAGTGTGTTTAGTGAACAGAAGATGGTGCTGTGCTGTTGGAGAATGAAGTATTTAGGCAAAGGATTATTTGTTAGGGACAAAGGTCTCCAGGTCCTCAGGGAGTCCTTGCATCCAGCCTTTCTGGGGTTCAAAGGTTGGGCTTCTTTGACACCTCTTTCAGGAGCAATTCCTAGTCATAACTTCTCATTTTTTCCTCATCTCTGCACATAAAAATCCTATATTTTAGAATAAACTTTTCAGTCTGGAATTTATTAACCTGTCACCTACTGTAACAAATTATGTGTGTGTGTGTTTGTTGCTGATGATTGAAGCCAGCCTCTTCAGTGTGCTAGGCAAGTTCTCTACCACTGAGCCATATTCCTCACTCACATCTGTTGTGAAACACGTGGAAGGTGAAATGGCATACAACTTTGCACAAAGTCTTGCCTATGGAAGGGCGCTTCCTGTGTGAAAAAAGAGGAAGGAAAGAGAGAAAAAATGTGTATATCCCGGCTCTGCATGTGTGTGTATGCTGAGGCCAGACTTTTTCTGGAGCTTGGAATTCCTTGTCAGGCAGTTTTCTCTTTTAGGGGAGAAGGATGTGTGTGCATGTGTGTGTGTGTGTGTGTGTGTGTGTGTGTGTGTAAGAGAGAGAGAGAGAGAAAGAGAGAGAGAGAGAGAGAGAGAGAGAAAGAGAGAGAGAGAAAGAGAGAGAGGAGAGACAGAGAGAGATAGAGAATGTGGCACAAAATACAGTGACCCAGTGTTTATTTTCTTCCAGTCATGCCACAGTCTGACACCTCAGGTTATTGCTTTGTTAGAAATTAGGGGAGGGGAAAGGATACCAAAAAAGTTTAAAGCTTTGACGCAGAACCCAGTTTTACTTGGTAAACATATGTGCGTGGCACAAAGAATACAAAGAGTTTATTCCCACTGCAAGGAGTTTTAAATGTGGGGAGCAGGATCCAGAGTAGTCAGGGCACAGGAGCCAGAGCTGTAACAGGGTCCAAGGCCTTGCGGTGCCCTGTGCTTCCAGCAGCAGCATCTCCCCACGCGGTCTGTCCTCACCCCAGGTTGCCTCAACTTGAACCTGTCCTAACAGGTCCCAGGGAAATCCCATGTAGTGTAATATCGGAGAAGTACTGGCCTGGGGGATGGGGATAAGATCTGGGAGTGTTTCCTAGAAAAAGGAAATCTTGACTTGTGTTTTGGGGCTGTATTGGGTTAACCAGGTGTTATTCTAAGTAGAAGGGATGATATAAGTGACAGTTCAGTGGCATTAAAAAAAAAAAAGAAGAAGCAAAACAAAGCAAACAAAGCAAACAAACCAAACACAGGAGTGTTTTGGGAACCAATAGTCTGGTCAAAAGGGTCAACTGCTAATCAAAAGTGTGGGAGAGAGGAGGGGGAAATAGAAAGAGACAGCAGAAGTGGGACAGTGGCCAGATGTACTCTGGATTAAGAATGCTTTGTTTGCCAGGTATGGTGGCGCATGCGTGTAATCCCAGCACTTGGGAGGTTGAGGCAAGAGTATTACCATGAATTGGAGGCCAGCCTGGGCTACATAGGGAGACTCTGACTCAGAACCAAAACAAAACAACACCCCCGTCCAATACAGGCTTTGTTTGCTTGCACTACTGGGGATTGAACCCAGGCTTTCCACATTGAGCTGCCGCCCCAGCCCTTTTAAATTTTTAAAAAAATTGAGACAGTTTTTGATAAGTTACTAAGTTGCCCAGGCTGCGCTTGAACTTGTGATCTTCCTGTCTCAGCCTTCCAGTCAGATTACAGGTGAGCACTAACACACTTGGCAAGGTAAAGGAATTTTGACTAGACTTAGAGACCATGTTAGAGATGCATGATGACCTGTTTCGATTTGGTTTAAATCACTGCAGCCCTGGGAAGGCTGAGAACAGGGAAGACTGAAGGACAGAAAAATTAATTATGAAGTTAAGGTAGTAGTGTTTGGAGAGGTAAGGAGTCTCTCCTCAGGTAGTGGTGGTGGGAATATAGAGGAGGGGGCGGGTTCAAGAAATTTTACAAGGTAATAAGCAGATGAAAGATAGTGATATGGTTTGGGGGTGGGAGACTGGAGGAGGGCTGAGTCTTGCCTGTAAGACTGCAGCCTTCTGCCTGAGATTAGTGGGTGGTTGCTCATGATGCCACTAACAGATGAAAGAATACAGGAGGATGAGCAGGTTTGAGGAGGGAAATTATGAGTCCAGTTTTCACTGTGTTCAACTTAGGTGAAGAGGAAACGTACAGGAGGGGAGAAAAAGAAGGAAACAAGAAAAGGGTGGAGAACAGGTGAGTCAATTGGGGCGGAGAAGGAAAATCACAAAGAGGAAACAATGCCTTGCCTAGATTTGAAGCTACACTAATAAACACACACACACACACACACACACACACACACACACACGCACACACGCACACACGTACACTCTGGGTTTCTCTTCCCAGAGTTCATTTTCTAGAAACTGCTCCCTTGAAACTTGGTTCTGGCAACTCGAACACAGGAGAAGAGCAGATAGTTCGACTTGTGGCTACCTGTCTGGTCTGGCGACCAACTCACCATTGCCACTATTTGCTCTGGTTTTGAACTCTAGTTCAAGCTACTCCAGAATCGGAATGACCAAAGCAATTGTCTTTTTCTATCCTGCTCCGTGGATGAGTAATTTTGTTTCCGTCCCCAACTATTTTCAAACTGGCAATAATACAATGTGAGTGTGCTTGTGTGGCGAACAGGGTCATCTCTCAAGTTCTGGAAGACGCCTGCCATAGATCTTTCCTGAATGGAAGCTTTTACAGTTCTTCTACCTGCACCTTAAAATGAAGAATTGGCAAAAAGTCTGGGTTGGATCATTCCCATAATTGTTTCCTGTTTTGCAGTCTGTTTTCTGCACGTCCCAGACTTCTGGGTCTCCCAGGGAGCAACTCCGTAAGTACTCAGAATTTTTCTGAGCAGTCATCAGTAGCCAATAGAAAACAAGAAGTCGGCACGTGGTCGTTACTTCGGGCAGGAGGAAGGTATTCTAAGCAGATGCTGTCCGCCGTTGCCAGGTTCAAACATGGCGGGCCGGGCCGCAGCCAGCCCTCTCAGAGCGTTCTGCTCTCTTTCCTACGGTCCCTGCCGGTCTTCGGCGTTCTCTTTTAACCTTTGTCTCCTGGGCGGCTCCAGTGGGTCAGCACCCGCGAGAGTGACAGCGAACCTGTTTCCCGCCCCCAGGCATGGGCCCGCCCATCGCCTCGCGTCAGCCAATCCCAGGCCGCGCTGTGGCGCCTGGCCGGCCCCGCCCCCAGCCTCGCTGTGGCCTGCGGGTTCCCGGCCGGCGGCGCGGCACTTGGTTGCGCGGACTGCTGGTGTGACCGCGGGTCTCGGGTGTTTTTCTCTAGCGACGACACAGCCCAGCGCCTCCGCGGCCGTCAGCTCCGAGCCTCCACCATGGACTTCGAGGACGGTAAGCGCCGCCTGTGGCCGGCCGCCGCGGTGGGCGGGAGACGGGTGGCCTGCACCAGGGGTCTGTGTGCCGTCTCAAAATGGCCGTGTGGGCTTTGTTCTGTGGGCCCCGAGGCCGCCCGGCCGCCGCGGGCCCAGCGCCCGGAGCCGGCTTCCCGGCGGACCGGCGCGTCGGCTTCGGTCCGGCGGGCACCGGGGAGGTCCGTGCGGGTCGGGTTCCGGGAAGGGCGCGCCCAGAGCGCGAGGGCCCGCGAGCTCGGCCCCGGACTCGCCCTGGCCTCCGGGCGAGCCTGTTCCCCGACGCCTCCGGCTTCCCGGCTCGGGCCGGGCCGCGGGGTGCGCGCTCGTCGCGCGTTCTTCCCACGGGCTAGGGCCCGGAAGGTGCGTTCTGTTCGTCCTCACCCCCGGGGGACTTCTGGCTAAACAGAATTTGCAGAGGCTTAGTCACTCACGCTGGTGATGTTTCTGGTTGTTTCAGCGCAAAGACGCGTTTAAAGGGAGTCCTGCCTAGTGAAGTGCTGTGTGTAGGTAGCTGTATGTACGGAATCAAAAGCAGGGTTTATCTTGGTTAGCAAATGGGGCTGTTTTATCCGTCAAAAGTATCTAGTTCTAAATGTCTGACTTGCGAGTATTCTGTGAACCAAAGCACTTTTTTTTTTTTTTTTTTGGCTTGTGTGACTAGGACTTAGAATTCTGGCACAGCAAACATCAGGTGCCCTTCACGTACACGGTGGCCTGTGTTGGGCTTACTGATTAAATGGAATTTTAACAATACCTTAGAATCGTCTGTGACACCATTTCTTTACGCCGCATTTACAGGGTCACAATGTAGAGTTACTTTGGTTGCCTTCAATTCTTGCCCAGCTTTCATGGGAATTAACATCCAGATAAAAGTAGTACGTAGTGACAGCCTTAGGGAGGCATGGGAAAGAGCTTGTATGACGAAACTGGGTTTAATCCTCACTAACTGGACGTTTCTAAATAAAACCACCTCATAAAGGAGTTGTAAGCCTCCAGCCGCAACAAAAAAAGGCACTCCTAACATAAAATGCTAGCGTGAGTCTTACCGAATGATCTTAGCATGAGTCTTACTGAGTGAGGTTTTGATTTTTGATTTGACTTCATACTACAGAGAGTTAAAACTTCCATGTGTAAATATATGAAAGGGGACAGTAATCCTTTTGTGACAACTTTTTAGTTACTTGGAAATAGGAAATTAGCTCTCAGGGTAGCATACTAGGGCGGTGTTTTTGTTTTAACTGGACTTTGATTCATTTTGATATAGATACCTTTAAAGTATGAGTATTTGAAGTTGGTCACAGTGAGAGTGGAAATAAAAAAATACATTATTGTAATCACGCCCAAGTTTGACGATGTTACCAGTACACAAGGTACAGAAAAGGCTACCAAGGTGGTGATAAGGGAACAATGGGAGCAATAGAGCAATCCATTTTCTGTGACATATTGAAAAAGAATAATAAAACTTAGTATGTGTGCTTTTTATTATCACCATATGCCTGCACTTATAAACTATGTTAGGGATAGCATAGGCTGGCCTTCAACTCAGGTCAATCCTCTTGCCTCAGCCTCCCCAGTGCTAGGATTGCAGGCGTGTGCCACCAGGCCTGGCATGACTGTTGTATTTAATTCCATTCTTTGAGTAGTAATCGAAGGATTTAACATAGTTAAGTTTTGAAGAAGGAAATTGGGGTATCTTTTTCTGTGATACCACATCCTAGGTAGATAAAGGACACACCTATATACAGATTCACGTTTGCATTTCTTAGATAAAATTTTGAAATCTGGAGAACAAATTAAGTGCAAAAAGAAATACTAGTTTTGAAAAGAATTTGTATTACATAGACTAAACTCTCAGATGTATTTGTTTTTTGTCTTATTTGATACATAATTTCACCTATCTCCTTTGTTACTTAGTATAAATTAGTACTGAATCCCTTTTTTTAGCTGTTACATACCAGGTGTTACAGACTGATTACTATATTGCCATGATTTGGATGATGAACCTGCTATTTGGGGAGGTAGAGGTGTTTTCCCAAATGGATATTGGTAATTATTTTTGTCCTAATTTTGCAGGTAATTGAGTTAATGGCATATAAAAATTGTGTTTGTTTTAATATATGGGGATATAATTTTGGATTTTTTGCTAATATTGCACTAATTCCTTTCTGTTGACTGTGTCTTCATAGATTATACACACTCTGCTTGCAGGAATGCTTATCAGGGCTTTAACGGTAAGTGTCCTCTTAGATTTTCTCTTAAATTTGTTGAGGGATTGCATTTCAGCTTTTTAAATTCACAAAATAACGCATCTTTTCAGAAATTGTTTTGGCTTTGAATGTGTCACTCTTCAGTGTTAATGTTGTTTTACTACCTATAATGTTTGAGCTGGGTGTTTGGGATTAGAAAAAGCTAGGAGTTTTTTTTTTTTTTTCCCCTGGTACCAGAATCGAACTCACGACCTCGCGCTTGCCAGGCAGGCGCTGTGCCACTGAGCTAAATCCCCAGCCCCAAAAGCTAGGAATTAGATTAGTTTTACTTTTCATCCTTGTTATTTCAGTTACCTTTTAATTTATTACAATGACTAACCAAATTCTAAGTGACGAATTACAGGACACTGGCTGAATTCTTGTGTTCAATGAGACTTCGGTGTTTAGTAACTTAGAGTGGATTATTGGCTTAGTTCTATATCGCTTTAATTGCAATGCATTTTGATGTTGTTTTTGAGGCCATTTTTCTCATTCAAATGTGTTGATATATTCCAACACTCTTCCAGAGTGATCTGGAAGAGCACATGAAGAAGCCTAATTATTGACATAAACATGATGTTAGACTTCTAATTGCAGATAAAAATCATGAGAGAGATGCAGAGTACAGTTGGATGGTATTTTGATAGTTACCAGAGTTCTTTGTTAGATAGGATAACACAATAAATTGCATAGAACAATTTAAAAAGGTTAAAAAAACAAAGGATTATTTTTTCCTTTGTAAGTTTTAATTATATTGTAAGGAATTTTGAAACTGACAATAGAGAAAGATAGGGTCACAGATTTAGAAGTGATATAAATCGGAGATTAAATCCTTAAATATTTGTCTTCTTTAAACTTTCTAGACCTATTTCCACATCTTTAAAAGTATTTAAAGAAAAAATTATGTGATAGTTTTTATTTTATCTAAGGGTGAAGAGAAACTGAATTTTATGTAGGCTAAAAAGGCTCAGTGTAGCATGTGGTTAGTATGTATTAAGTGAATATTGCAATAAATAAATACATCTATCTATCTATCTATCTATATATATATCTTTTAAAAGCAAGGTCTTACTGTGTAGTGCAGGCTGGCCTTGAATTCATGGCAATCCTCCTGCCTCAGCCTCTAAATGCTGGGATTACAGGCATTGCACCACCACACCCAGCTGAAGAATATATTTTTGAGAAGAGTGACATAAATTTACAAAGGACTTTTAACTTGCAGGTTAGATTATAATATGGAGAGTTAGCTAATTCATAAATTTAGATATAGGGATATTAAGACCTTTTATTTAGGAGGTGATGATAGCAGTTGTCTTAGTTACTTTTTCATCCCTGGGATGTAACACTCATCACTTACAAGTTAAAGGAGGCAAAGTTTATATTAGCTCACAATTTATAGAAATTTCAAGCTATAGTTGGCCTGCTCCAAGGCAAGGCATCATGGTAGAGGGGCATGACAGGCAGGTAACAGAGATAGATCAAGTGAGGACAACAAGAGAGACCCTTTCAGGCCACATGCCCAGTGACCCACCTCCAACCATGCTTCACCTCCCAAGTCACATTTAGCTATAAATTTGTCAGTAGACTAATCCATTGTTAAATATCGTGACCCCATGATCCAGTAGTCTCCCCAAAACCCCATGTATGAACACATGAGGCTTTAGGGGAGGCATCTAGATATAAATCATAAGAGTAATTTTAAAAATACTATTTTTTTTAACTGGGTGTGATGAAGCACACCTATAGTCTCAGCACTCAGGACTGAGGCAGAGGATCCTCACAAGTTTGAGGTCAGCCTGGGCTACATAGTGAGTTCAAGGCCAGCCAGAACCACATAGCGAGGCCCTGTCTCAAACAAATAAACAAACAAACAAATTAGAGAAAATTAACAACTTGCAGGCTGGTTAGTGGTGGGTAGAAAATTGAGAGGACTGAATAAATATGAGTCCAGGATTTTAAACTGGAGTGAGGAGGACTGGTGCTTTTATCAGACATTTGGAATGCTAGAGGGCTTTACTGGAGAATTGGCTTTGATGTCTAGAGATAGGGCTTGAAATGAAATATCTTGTCCTTATTAATGTACAGTGTTACAAAAAAACTCATGTTACGGCTTCTATTTTTTTCCTCTTAGTTGCAGTTGTAATAGTGATTCTCATTCAAGGGTCATTATTACAATACCCTAGGGAGCTTTTTTAAAGTTATCTGTTCAGGTTATACCCTAGACCTCTTGAATCTTAATTTTAGGGCATGTAATGCTAAAAGCACTTTACCTCTGACTAAAAACCACTACTTGAAAATTCGTACTTTGAGGTCTTAGTTATCTACATTGTACAAATGAGAAACTTAATTTCAGGGATTTGATTTGACTTCATTTTGACAAATGTTTAAATATTTAGTGTGCTGTATATCAGGTATTGTCTGAGGAGCTGGGGCTATAGCAGTGAGCAAAATTGGCAAATATTCCTCAGCTGTGGACTGGCACAAAGTATACAGAAAATAAGATTAAAAAAGTAAATCTTGTACATTAGAAGGTAGTAATTACTAAGGAGAAAAATAATGCAGGAAAAGAGGATGTGTGTATTTGTGCATGCTGTAATTTTTAAAGGTGGTGGCTGGAGAAGGACTCACATAAAAGGTGACATTTGAGCACAGATTTAGAGATGAGGATGCAAATCTTGAGAGTATCTAGAGAGAGAATATCATAGGCTTTAAATGTGTAGGTACCAAATGAAGCAAACAGTACACTTCGTTCTGAGCGTTGTATTTTCTAGCTTTTTACTGAAAGGAAGTAGAGGGCATTGGAGAAAATATAAGATACGGATTTCCTCCACAGCATTGTTTGGAAGGAAGTTGTATTTTTATTGTCTCCACATTTTCCTTCTTTCTTCATAATACCTCTTCCTATGTAAATAGGGCATAGAAAAGGAGAACATTCTAGGTAGAGGTAACAGCATAAACACAGGGCTGAGTATACTGCTTCAGAAAGACTTAAGACTGGTTTGACCACAATAGATTTTTACTGAACAGCCTGCAGACAAATCTAGAGAGGTGAGGCGTAGCCAGGAAGCATTGGAAATCTAAGGTAATTTCCTTATGTATAAAAATAGGATCCAGGTGTGGTGGTATAGGTCTGTAATGCCAGCACTCTTGGAGACTGAGGAAGGAGGATCTTGAGTTGAGCCCATTCGGGGCATCTTAGTGAGACTTTATCACAATAAAAATGAAAAAAGTGCTGGGAATGTTGCTCACTGTAAGGTTTAGTCCCTACTACTGCACACATGCACGCACACACACCAGCTAAGTGAAAACCTGAAAGAGGTGAAGTAGTGAACAGTGACAGTTCAGGGGAAGAATATGCATTCTAGTAGGCAGAGAGAGCAGTAAGTGCAAAAATGGGTATATACACTTTGTGTTCTAGGAATATAGTGAATAAAGAAGGGTGTATAGTAAGCAAGGTTAAGGGGTGATGGTGCAGATCATGTAGGGCAGAGTTTCTCAACTTCGGCACTGTTGACACTGAATTAATTTTTGTTGTGGAGTACTGTAGACTGTTCAGCAACATCCTTGGCCTCTATGCGTTTGATGTCAGCAGCGCCTTTCCCCTAGTGAGGACTATCAGAAATGTTTTCCGATTCCATCAGTGTCCTGGACAGGGTTATGGGCAGGTTACCCGTGATTAAGAACTTATTGGTAAAGGACCTTACATTTAAGGCTTTTGCTTTTACTTAGATTGGAAACCATTGGAGGGTACTGAGCCTTGGACATCAATTTAACTTACATTTTACCAGAATTAATACTGATTTTTGTCTTTGGAATAAACAGGGAGTAAAAGTAGAAGCGAGAAAACCAGTGAAGAGGCTGTTGCAATAATCTAGTAGACAGATCACAGTAGCCCATGCTATGGTGCTAGTAGTGCAGAGGTGGAGAAAAAGTGTTTTCCTCTAGGACTTAGTGTCACACAGATAGCCAGTAAGTCAGTTTTTTCTTCACTGCTCCACAGCTCCTTCCTTTTAATTGTGAGTTTTTACTTTTTGAGCTTATTACATATATGATAGTGATCCAGGCAATAGAATAGATTTGATTCAAATTATTAGACCAGATTTATTTTTTTCAGAGTGAATTACTTTCTTGTTTAATGCTAAGAATAAAGAGATAATGTTATGTTCTTATAGTATGTGTGTGTGTGTGTGTGTGGGGGGGTGGGTGGTATATTGGGGATTGAACCCAGTGTCTTACCCAGTGTCTTTGCAGTGCACTACCTTCCCAGCCCTTTCTTATTTTGGGGCAGGGTCTTGCTAAGTTCTGTTGTTCAGGCTGATTGTTTCAGTTGCTTACAGGTTTAGAATTGCATGATTCTGGGTAGTATTTTTGTAAACGTGTTATTCTTAGGACTAGGAATGTGAAATGGTTGTAAATAAAATTTAATGTTAAAACATAAAGTATTTACTCTGTATACTATTTTATTTATATATAAGATATGGGAAAGACAGTAATGAAATATTTTAAAGGATTTTATATAAAATGAATTGCAAGCTCAATGGCACAGTGCCTGCCTGACAAGTACAATGTCCTGAGTTTGATTCCTGATACTAAAAAAAGAAAAAAAGAAAGAAAATGAATTCTACCACAAAACTAGTAACCTCATTCTTTTATATCAGAAGTTGGGTTATAGGTGGAATTGTAGTGTAATAAAATATTCCTAGTACCCTGTTGTGTTGCTAGAATTCATATTCTTTTTCTTTATTCAGGAGAATTTCAGAATTTAAGTATGTTTTGACTCCTTATTGTTTACTGACACGGTGCCGAAGATTGGTCCCAATTAAAAATACCTGTTTCAGTTACTGTGCACATGGCTAGTTCAAATTTGTGGCTGCTTTTGAGTTTTTAGACAGCTTGAGAAAATTAGATGCAGAAGACAAGTGCAGTGTATTTATATCATAGTATACTTAGATCAAAAATTCTTGATACTAAATGCTGACTTTTTTGAGAATAGGAATTACTTATTATTATCTTATATACATTGTAGTACCAAATATAAAGTCTTATAGTCTTCTAGTAAAATATTGATTAAATTGAATTTAATTATAATATGGAATTTTGTAGTTAGTGCGTTTTTCTTTGAAATACCAAGCTTTATTAGCAGATATGATTTTTCAGTAGATTATCTTGGTGCTTTTTCCTTCAATGTCTTACATAATTTAAGTGTTAATTATAAATTGTTATCTCAAGCTATTGATGTGAAAATGTGTTTTTGCAGGTTTTGAAGAGAATAGTATATTTTACTGACATATATCTTACTGACTCTCTTTTAGGAATGGATCGTGATTATGGCCATGGATCCTATGGAGGTCTGACATTCAAGGATATTTATCTAAAATTTCTTCTTTTGAGTGCCAGTAAAGGTGAGCAGCGTTTAATTTTTTTCTTTTTAAACTCTTATAGGGATGGATCGTGACTATGGCCATGGATCCTATGGGGGTCAGAGATCCATGGATTCCTACCTAAACCAGTCATATGGCATGGACAATCACAGTGGTGGTGGTGGGGGTAGCAGGTAAATTGATTAATCACTTGGCCAAATAGACAACGATAAGATTCTAGATATATATATTTTAAGTATTCCTTAGGCATGTTGTAATGCTTAAATTTCACTGTTAGGTGTTGAATAATCACCTTAAATGTTTAAAGGTGTTACTGGGTATAAAAATTGTCATAGGATCACTGGCAGGCATTTTAGGAAGACCCCAGATAACTGTTATCATTTTGGTATAATAGAGTAAGATATTCTATTTTTAACAGTGAACATCTTAAAATTGCTTCATTTTCAACTGTTTATCATTCAAAGTGTCTTAAGCAAATGAGATAAAATTTGTTGTTAGAAATACTATTTGTGAAACTTTTAATGATTTTTAAAAAACCTTTGGGGGTTGCTGTATAAAGCACCAAAAGAGTCTGACTGGAGTGGTCTTCACTGAACCAGTCTAGCAACATTCAATTTCTAAGAAACATTTAAGATAAATTTTCTTTTAATTTTAAGGTTAAGTTGCAAGAGCAGGTTGTAGTAAAAAATATTCTCAAGTTATATATCGGCAGTTACTACTTAACACCAAAAACACTTATGCTCAAGATTAGGAGCATTGTGTTAAAGCCATTGATAGCAATACCTTCAATACAATCTATATTGTATTTATATTTTACTGTTGATACTGTGTAAAACTCACAGGTTGTAGAGTTGATGTATTTCAAGAGAAGGGGGTTGGTTTACTTTTTGAGGCATAAAACTTCCTGCTAAATATTAAGCAAAACTAGTTAGGGGGTATTTTAAACCATTGTCCTTTCTCACAAATTGAAGGATTCCAATTCCTTAATGATGGACCGAGTAATGCTTACTTTTCTTCTTTCTGCTTCAAGTGTGTCACTATGGATTATAATAGAGAAAAACCAAGAAAATGAAGAGTTTATAATTTTTTATTATGTGATAGCAAGTTTGAGATTTGTAGCTAGAAAAGGAATTTTTTAAGTGATGACTAGGATTCAGAAGTAAATAATATTTTCTGTTTAGTGATCTGTAAATAATTGAAGAAATGTAATATATTTAAATGTTTCAGTATGTCAGTTATTGTCCTATTACATTGTAAGTGTAATGTGCATAATCTGCTTCTGTAGATGTTATCATTTATCTCATGTGTAATTGTAGGCCTTTATAAAACTGTTGTAAGATAACAAGCAGCTTTTGTAATCCATGTTTAGGATTTGGGAGAAATAATTAGATTTGTTTTTTCTGTTGACTTTTAAAACCTTGAGGAGACTGTGTGCTCCCTTTTTTAAGAGTAGTTTTATGTGATAATTTTCTGACAGTAAATAATTTTTCAAGTAACTGAAGACATTATAAAATACATTCTTTCTCATCTGCCTTGAAAATTCAAATGCAGAGGTTATATGTTATCGATCTTTTACTTTTATATTCTATTTTATGTGCTTATCCTTTTAGATTTGTTAGATTTATTAGTCTGCAAGTAAAAAATGATTAGGGATTGATTATTGATCTTGGTTGAAGTTTGGTAGAATGTCAGATTTTACAACCTGAGATAATTCCTTAAAGTTTGATTATTATAGACACAAGGAGGCAGTTTTGTGTTAAAGATTACTAGGGGTACAAAAGGATTGCTCCGTGTCACAAATAGCCTACATGTATTCAGTCTTCAATTTGTGTTCCTATGGAAAGACAAAATGTTGTACATGCTTTGTAATTTTCAGTATTAGGGGTGGATTCAAAGAATGTTTGAATAGCTTGTGAACTTTAGCAAATGATCTTTTCTAAGACTAGGGCTGGGCTTAAATAACAACAGACAAATCTTGTCTTCATAATAAAGTAGAAAAGCTGCTAAAAAGATTCTTAAGCTAAGGTTTATTAAACTCAATTCATATTTATAAACTGATTCAGATAGCTTTCTATCTGATCTCATGTTGAACTGCCCAGCCCTAATCAAGTGTGAACAAAAATAGAACTGTGCAAACCAGTATGGTATATATGAATTTTAGTTGATAAATGTCATCTGATAATTTGTCTTTTGAATTGTCTAACATTAGTAAGCTTACTTTTGTTTTTTCCCTCACTGTGCAACTTTTCCAGGTTTGGACCTTATGAGTCTTACGACTCCAGGTCTTCTCTGGGTGGGCGAGATCTGTACAGATCTGGCTATGGTTTTAATGAACCCGAACAAAGCCGCTTCGGAGGTAGTTATGGTGGTCGATTTGAGAGCTCCTACCGGAATAGCCTTGACTCTTTCGGAGGTAGAAACCAGGGCGGGTCTAGCTGGGAAGCACCTTACTCCCGTTCAAAATTGAGGCCTGGGTTTATGGAGGACAGAGGAAGAGAGAATTACTCTTCCTACAGCAGTTTTTCTTCACCCCATATGAAGCCTGCACCTGTAGGCTCTCGGGGGAGAGGAACGCCTGCTTATCCTGAAAGTACGTTTGGAAGCAGAAACTATGATGCTTTTGGAGGACCATCAACAGGCAGAGGCCGAGGCCGAGGAGTAAGTACAACAGAATCTTTTCAGATTCTTTTCACTAGTCACTCTTTTAAACCCTTTCAAGACCATGGTTTTCAATTAGAATAAACACTGTTTGTCCCAGTGTATTTTAAGGAAAAGCTGAGTCATAAACATAAGTTCTAGGTTGACTGTAACAGTTTTTCTAGCACCTTAGAAAACAAGTGGCAGTTTAAGATAATTGTAAAGTTATGCCAAATCTCCCTTTGTAAAAAGGTGAGGATATTAGGTTTGGTCTAAAAGGGGTTAAAAGGAGTTGCATTTTCCTTGTAAACACTAGCAGTTTTGCTGGTGGGACAGTTCTTGGATTATTGTAAAAGATAACTGCATCCGTCTTGAGTTTTTGTGTAGGTTAAAGGTGCAATGTATGATAAAATGTTTATACTTTGTTACCAAATTCTAGCAAATAGAATTTCCTCAAAGCTTTATGTTTCACATTAAACAAAAGAAACTAAAAGTTGGTGACAGTTCAGTATAGCTTAGCCACATTTACAAGGTGAAGAAGTTGATGTGTATAATAGGTTGTAGAATGATTTGTGGCCAGTATAATTTTGTCAACTCACTTTCTTGGCAGTATGTCCAGTTGGTGGTGGTTTTAGTTCCCCTTGTCTCACTAGTTTGACTATCAGAAGCATTTCCATAGCTGATCATACATATCTGTGGCTCCTTCTTAGGAAGTAATATTTTGTGAATTATTGCTTAAGTAAGTAAATATACTAGTCTGCAGGTGTTTAATTTCAGGATATATAGTGTAAAGATTATGCTTTATGTTTTTAGGTAGCTTGATTGTTAGGAAATTTTACAGTGTATTGTTGAGTGTGGGGTTATTATGTAGTTTGATCATAAAAAGGCTACTGTATTTTTGGAATAATGTTAAGTTTTTTGAGAATCAGTTCTTAACATTCTCTTTATAGAAGAAGGTATTTCTGATAAAATATATAGTAAGGCACACATTGTTTACTTCAATAGCCTTTGGTACATGAGTATAGGTTGTCATACTTGTGTAGAAATTTTGCTTTTTAACTGTTAGTCTTATGTAAAATGCATTGCACCTTTAATAGATAATTAATGTGACTGTGTAAATTAACTGAAAACATTTATTCAGATCTACTAGGTTAGATAGGTATTCCTAAGAGTAATATGCAAATGTAAGCAACTGTGTTGCTGTTCCATCATACTTGGTGTTGTAGGTTAACTGAAAATTGAGCAGTAGGCTTTTGGTTTTGAAATTGAAAATCCACTGCAGTTTGAAAATTTAGAAAACAGTTAACATTTCCCTGCTGTATATTATTTTAGGCAAAGGATTTTTTCTTAATGAGACCTCAAATGCCAATTTTGTATTTATGTTAGTAAAAGAAATAATTCTGTAGTTTGCATTTACCATTCTAGTCTGAATGGACTTGTCTGTCTTTCTTCCTGTTTATGAAGTAGATAACAAATAGGATCTTCATTTTTAATCTTCACTTGTACAATTCCCATTGGGTCCTTCTCTTCAGATTACTCCTTAATCTTTACCTTCTAAAATAAGATTAGCAGGATAAATTTCTGTGGACATGTGGCCTCTTATAGTGGATCTTGTTAATGGCAAGAGAAGAGGAAGGGACACAAAGAGTTGTTTGATGGATGACTCTTCATCTGCAAATGTTTGCTTCTTGGGCTTCTGGGTCAGAATGTTTCTCTAGGTAAGAATGTGAATGGAACGTCAGATGCAGTTCTTTATCTGAAGTGTGTCTTGGAAGTTGATGCATGGTTATGCTTTAACTCTCCTATTTCATACTAATGTTCCATCTCGCCTTCTCATCCCTTCTTCAACAGGGAGAAATTCTAAATGATTTCTGGATCTTTTTAACATCACACTACAAATATGATCTTCTTTGTGTATCTTAGTTTTAAGGCAGGTTTTAGTAAAAATAAAGATTTCTTTTAAGGTCTTTTCATGGGAAAACATCAATTAGGAACTCTGAAGAGGAGTTGTCAGAGAGTTGTACAAGTGGTAACCTCCTGACAGGCACATACGTGTTTATGATCTCAAATAATTTTGAATTGTGAAAATCAAAAACTGGTAGGAAATATCCACATTTGTTCTACCGGAAATGAAATTACTAACTTATTGGATTTGAGTTCATGTACTATTTACAAAGTTTTTAATGTGTTTTTTCAGAGTGGACATGTAAAATTTAGTTACATTCCAGGGAATTTTCAGGTGAAGACTAGTAAATAGATGACAGTGACAATTTTTTATGAGTTTGTATTTTATCTTTGGATCGTATACTAATATTTCTTGATTTCACAAATTTACAGCATATGGGTGACTTTGGAAGCATTCATAGACCTGGAATTGTTATTGACTATCAAAACAAATCCACCAATGTGACCGTTGCTGTTGCAAGAGGAATAAAGAGAAAAATGGTGCAGCCATTTAATAAGCCTGGTGGAACCTTTGTCAAGAAACCTAAGCTAGCAAAACCTGTGGAGAAGATGAGCCTCAGCAAATCACCTAGTAAGTAAGAAAACATACTGCTATGGTTCAGGATCCATCTTAGTCTTAAAAATTTGTTGTTTTAAGATAATTTCTCAGTATTATATAGAGAAACTATGTAATTTTAACTATAGCAATTAGATCTGTGATTCCCCTAGTACAATTACAACCAAACATATTGCTTAAAATTCATAGCCCTTGTCTGATAACCTTTTTCTCTGAATTGTCTGTGATGGGGCCAGAACATGGGTATTTTTAGAATGGCCTTTTGCATGAATTTGATTCAGACCCTGTTCTGGCTTGTTACACTTACTATTGAGGGTAGTGTTAAAGAAGTGGCATGGTGTATCACATGACTGTATGAGGACAAAGGGAAGAAAATTTTAAAGTTGTTGGTACCAGGTCAAGCTGTATTTTTTTCTAGAAAATTAATTTACTTTTAATCTTCTGGATGTGATAGAACTTAGAAGTAATCCTATTTCTGTTTTTACATTGACTTACAAATTTTGAGTCAGTCTGAAAATGGAATTGAGAAAATTTCATTTATTATAGCATCAAGAAGAAATACTTGGGAATAAATTTTTTTTTTTTTTTTTTGTTTTTTTGTTTTTCTTCTGGTACCAGGAATTGAACTCATGACTTTGTGCTTACCAGGCAGGCTCTTTGCCACTGAGCTAAATCCCCAGCCCCCTGGGAATACATTTAACAAAAGAAGTTCAAAATATACTGTGAAAATTGTAAAACATTCTTGAAAGAAATTAAAGGTCTTAAAAAATGGAAAAATGAAACTAGGTGAAGATAATGTTGTCAAAATGGCATTGCTTCCTAAACTGATAGAGATACAGTGCAATTCTTACCAGAATTTCAGCTATAAAGACTCATACTTCACTATTTCAGATGGGATTGTATGTGTTCAGGGTGGTATAATCATAGACACCCTCACTATTTCAGAACTTACTACAGAGCAACAATAATCAAGACACTGTGGTATTGGCACACAGGCATATAATCAGTGGGATATTCCAAAAGTAAACCTATACAGCTATGGTCAACTGGTTTTTAACGAGGTGTGAAGATTGTCCTATGGAAAAGAATAGTCTTTTTAACATATGGTACTAGCATAACTGGCTAGCTATGTGTAAAACTAAAATGGAAGACCTTACAAGAGCTAAAACTACAAAATTCTTAGAAGACATAGGAGTAAATAGACATGATTTTGGATTTCACAAGGAATTCTTAAGTAGGACACTGAAAGCCTGAGCAATAGGTAAGAAAGTAGGTAAACTGAACTTCATCAAAATAACTTCAGTGTTTTAAAGGACACCGTCAGGAGAAAATGAAAACAACCCATACAGTGAGGGGAAATATTTTGCAGATCATGTATCTCATAAAAGATGTGTATCTAGAATATATAAAGAATGTTTACAACTCAGTAAAACAACAAATAACTCAATTAAAAAGTTAACAAAGGCGCTCTGAATAATCATTTCTTCCCAGAAAGACATGTAAATTGCCAAAAAGCACATGAAAAGTTTCAACAGTTAGTTAATAGGTAAATACAAATGAAAGACCACAATGAGGTACAACTTTACTCCTCTTCAGCTGGCTAGAATAAACACCAGTAACAAGCCTTAGGAAGGATATAGAGAAATTTAGAACCCTCCTACACTGCTGGTAGGAATATAAACTGAGGCAGCCACTTTGGAAGACAGTCTGGAAATGGCTTAAATGATTAGAAAGAGTTATATTACTTAGCAGTTCTGCTCCCAGGTAGCTCCTCAAGATAAGTGAAAATATGAGTCCACATATTATGTGGTGCATGACAGTGTTTTGATCAATGATGGATTGCATATACAGTGGTATATACCATATATCCTAGGTGTATAGAGACTGTACTACTTGGGATTCTATAAATACACTGTATGATCACACAATACAGTAGCTTCATTATGCGTTTCTCAGCACATACCACTATTGTGAGGCAACCTGTGACTGATTGATAGCACAGTTATTCAGAGTGGCCCAAAAGTGGAAAAAAACCCCGGATATCCATCAAGGGATATTAGATAAACAGGATATGACGTGCCATATAATGGAGTATTATTCAGCTATAGAGTAGAAAGAAGTGCTGTTACAGTGCATGCTATACCCTGAATAAAGCTTGCAAAGGTTATGGAAGTGAAAGAAGCTAGTCAGAAAAGTCCACAAATTACATGATTCATTTTGTACAGCTGTCTAAAGCAGGGGAATCTATACAGATAGAAAATAGTTCAGTAGTTGTTTCGGGCTGTAGGGTAGGGACTGGGTGAATGAGGGGTGATACCTAAAGATAGTCTTTCTTTTTAGGTGATAAGTAGATTCTAAAATTGATTGTGATAATAATTGGCACATACCTGTGAATATACTGAAAACCATTGGATTGTATATTTGAAATGAATTGTCATTAGTAAGGTTTTAAAATTATTTATTCATTTTTAGTTTTAGTGTAGAATAATTATTTATTCATTTTTAGTAAGGCTTTTTTTTTGTACCAGGAGTCAAACTCAGGACCTTGCACTTGCCAGGCAGGTGCTTGTGCCACTGAGCTATATCCCTGACCTTAGTAAGGCTTTTTAAAAAAAAGAAATTTAAGCCAAATTACTGTCATCTTCGTTTCTCAACTGTACATTCTTTCTTTATAGATAGAATCAAGTGTAGTTCAACAACTTGGATTAAACCAAGCATATTAATAAAAAAAGCTAGGGAAGTATCAGCATTTTATGTGAACATGTGTAATAGTTAAATAGTACATAATATTTCACCTATTTTTGGCTATGTACTGAATTATTTTTTATTCTTTATATTGATTTTTACTTGATTACTATAGTTGCTTTGCTAAGGAGATGATATTGTGAAGGTGCAAAAATTCTTCTTTAGAATTAATAATTACCTGGTTCAGTTGGAGCTGAAGGAGGTTTGGATAATTGTAATAAAATGAATGTTTTAAAGTTATTCTGGTGAAATTATTCAGTTTAATCATTTTAAGAATAAGAACCAGTGAGTGTTAATAGTGAATTTATTATAGTATGCTCCTTGCTGGTGTAGTTGCTAAAAAAGTGGTGATAGCCTTCAAATAAGTCCCCCCTCAAAAGGAGAGAAGAGCATAGAGACCAAAATAAGTCCTAATTCATGCTTGTCATTCTTTTTTTTTTTGGTAGCAGGGAGTGAACTCACAACCTCATGCTTGCGAGGCAGGCACTGTGCCATTGAGTTATATCCCCGGCCCAGTAAGTCCTAGTTCAAAACTGGTTTTTTCACTGGGCATGGTGGCACACGCCTGTAATCCTAGCACTGGGGAGGTAGAGGCAGGAGGATTACCACAAGTTTGAGGCCATCCTGGGTTACAAAGTAAGTACAAGACCCGCCTGAGTTACATAGCAAGACCCTGTGTCAAGAAACCAAAACAGCAAAAACAAAACCAAAACTTTTCTTCAAAACTATACATATTTTTTTAAATACCAGTAGTGTTTTTGTTTCATTTAAAAAAATTTTATCCCCATTTAAATTGCTTAAAGATGGATAAATGTATCCAATTTTATAGAAGTAGCATTGTAGTAGTAATAGTAAGCTAGCTCTTCCTGAATGCTTACTGCACATTAGGCTCTGTGTTAAAGAGCATTGTATGTATGACCTGCATTAATTTTTAAAACAGCCTGCTCAGGTGTAGGTATGTGTGTCAGATCCCCTACACCTGACAGAATAGGCACAGAGCAGATAAATACTTTGTTGCGTAGGTCAGACAACCAAGAAATGGCAAACAAACATTTATTCCAGGGCAAGTCTTGCTGTAGAAAACCTCTATTGTTAAACCTCCATATGATTTAATGAATTTCTTTTGTATTATTTTTCCTTTCATTTTTAAGCAGATTTTTCCTAATTATAACATTGTAGACATTTTAATTTATTGTGTATAAAAATGGAAATTACAGTGTTACATTCTTTCCTTAAAATAAATGAGGTCTAACATAAAACTCAAGAACAGATTAAGTAGTATGCTTACATCTACTTTTCTGTGATGTTTTATAATTGGTACTTACTATTCAATAAGAAATAACAATATTCTAAAAACCTGACATGAAGTGGAACATATGTTGTGGGGATGCATTCATTGACTGTTACTTGAAAAATACGAATTTTTACGTGGTATTACTAGAATAAGTTAATTCAGTTGGTCGTTGGGATAGATTTCAAAGATATACTTTACAGGTATAGCTAAAGGAATATTGTGAAGTTTGATACAGAAAATGGGCATTTTAAAAGATAACTACTGAATTTTCTAAACTATGAGGTCTTGGTAAATTATACAAATATAGACTGTTTTATAGAAAATTAGTAGGAAAGGAATCATTCTTGTTTGAAGTAGCAGGTAAGTGGGTTTTTTTGTGGAGTCAGTGTTTTAGGGAAATCTATGAACAAGGGTATTGAAAATGGTTAATAAGTATGTATATTTAAATTCTTATAAAATAATCTAGATGTTAAATTCTAAGATACTGATTTTATATAATTTGAAACATTCCATTGTATACTTAGCAAGTGCTTAACAAGTATTTCTTCACTATCAGGTTTAAAGTTTAATGGCAAATCTGTAAGATACTTTTAAAAATAGATATAGTTTAATGTATTGTTAGAGTCTGTTTACAGTGAGATGTCATTCCATACATTCAGGAGAGATAGTTGTAGTATGTGAGAAAGACTTAGGTGTGGACAAGGGTGTGGAGAGACTGACACCTCACATGCTGTGGTGGGAATGTAAAGCTGTGGTTCTGGGAGACTGTTGCTTCCTCAAACAGACTGTGTCTGACCCAGCCATTCTACAAGGGCCATCTATCTGAAGGAATTAGAAAGAGGTATTCACAGACTCATTTACCAGTGTTTGTAGCGTTATTATTCATAATAGCAAAAAAGGTGAAAACAATCCAGATGTTATCAGCAGATAAATGGTACGTTCGTTCATACAGTGGAATATTAGTAAGCCATAAAAAGGAAATGTGTGGTACAACATGGATGAACTTTGAACACATGTTAAACAAAAGAAACCAGCCCAACAAAAAAAAAAGGCAAGAGATTATGATTCTGTTTAAGTGCAGTATCCAGAATGCTGAAAGCAGATATTAGTAGTTACTAGAACCTTAGAGTAGAGTTGAAAATGAGGAATGAGTGTTTAATGGCTACTGGAGTGTGGAGTGATGAATCGTTCAGGAGCTATGTAGTTAGTGTTTTGGTTTTTTTTTTTTTTTGTCTTTTTAAGATAGGGTCTTGCTATGCAGTTCAGGCTGGCTTTGAGCTCACTTTGTAGCCCAGGCTGGTCTCAAACTTCCAACGATCCTCCTGCCTCAGCCTCCTGAGTGCTGGGATTACAGGAGTGCACCACCACGCCCGCCTTATAGTTAGTGTTAATGGCTGCACAACATGTGAATGTGCTTGATGCCACTGAATTACAGACTTTAAAATGGTTAAAATGGTGAGTTTTGTTACAGTGATAATTAAAAGGTATGAACCTGCTTTTATTTTGAAGTTTTACACATTTTCAGGAACTCTTGGACAGCTCCTAAAATATAAGTATGAATTCTTGGATGCAGGGCTCTCTTGTGTTCATTGGACTTACATTTTCACACTAGGTCAGGTTACTTCAATGTTTCTCTGAGTGTGCATAGTAGTCAATATGACCTTATTTAGCTAAAAGGATTGCTTAGAGTAAGACTAAGGGAAAAAATGAAGAAGACATTTAGAGAAAAATGTGTAATAGATGGTCATGTAAGCAAATGTGACAAGATGCATGATTATTAAAATGAATCAAGTTTCAGAAATGCTAGGTGGTCTCAAACTTTAGATTATGATTACTGAGTTAAACCTGTATATCTGTACTTTGTAAATTGGTGACTGGAAAAAATAAATGGAAACATGAGTTGTAGTTGTTACGTTTTGTCTGATATTCTAGCAAAAACTGATCCGAAAAACGAAGAAGAAGAAAAGCGACGAATTGAGGCTCGACGAGAAAAGCAAAGGCGCCGAAGAGAAAAAAACAGCGAGAAATACGGAGATGGATACAGGTTTGTGTTTAGTAAGTCAGAAATTGGGCTTACTAAATAGTTTTCTAGAAAAGGTAAATACATGAATTGGGATATGAAAAATTTCCTATAGTTGAATGAGAATTGGTCAAAGATACGTAGGTGATATTTATTTATTTTTGAGACACTGTCTCATGGTGTTGTTTAGGCTGGCCTTGAATTCACTGTGTTGCCCAGGTAGCTTTGTACTTGTGGTAATCCTCTTGCCTCAGCCCAAAGTGCTGGGATTACAGGCGTGCACCACCACACCTGGCTGTAGATGACTTTTAATATTTCTATATTAATCAGTACTTAGTATGAGAAAAAAAGGTCCTATTTATAATGACAATTCAAAATTTTAAAATATACAGAAATAACAGTATTATTAAGAAACACATGTTATAACATGAAGAAAACCATACAATCTTGAGAACTGACCATGTGGAGATAGTGATGTTTTTTTTTTTTTTTTGGTTTTTCTCCGGTACCGGGAACCGAACTCATGACCTTGCGCTTGCCAAGCAGGCGCTTTGCCGCTGAGCTAAATCCCCAGCCCCGATAGTGATGTTTTTGAATAGGGAATCTAAATATTACAGATGTTTAAATTCTTTCCAATCCAAACTTCAAAGAAAATTGTGAAAGAGAAGAGTAATGAATAGGTGCTACCTTTTTCTAGACACTGAATCCCTAAGAGACTAATAGTTAAAAATACATGGTAGGGACTAGGGATGTTGCTGCATGGTAGAGTGCTTGCCTAACATGCACATGGCCCTAAGTTGAATCTAGCATTGTCCACATGTGCATGTGTGCATACACACAAAGCAGTGGTCACAGAAAAGAATTAATAGCTTATGAACAGAGTACATTTGTAATACATAATAAAGGAGATACTACAAACAAAAGATTTGATTGGAGAGGTAAAAACTGAGACTCAATTTAGACCTACCATTTGCAATGAATCCAGATAGATTAAAAGCCATAAAAAAAAAAGAATTAGGAAGATAAAATGAAATATTTTACTCCCCCCAGAGATTGATTATTTCATTTAAAAGTTATTTAATAAATTACCAAAGAAATGATGAATATATTTGGTTAAATAAAATTTGAAAGCAGTATTGGAAAATACAATCTTGAAAAATGACTAATGTCCAAGTTAGGTAACACACCCAAATTAAAAGTTTTTTTCCAATTTTTTTTGAAAAATAACTAAGATGTCTAATACATAATTTGGTGAAGACAACAGCTAGTTAATATTAGGAGAATGTGGGAACTTACAATAATTTAGATAAACTGAAAATGTAAACAATAGTGTGCTGTTTTATTAGGGAGGAGAAAAGAAATACTGATTTGGTAAGGTGCAGTCATAGGACAATGATGTTTTGCTTGTGACTATATAATGTTATAACTACTGGAAAACAAGAGTTTTAAAAATGTCTTAAATTTCTTTGTACCCCTTAATCTTCCCAAGAAAACCTAAAAGTATGAGTTTATTTAATCTACAAAGATGTCCATTATTTATAATCGCTCCAGATATGATCCAGATGCCAGCTATAGGATGATTAAGTAGATGTAGAGTTTGACATATCCCTTTAAGGGCTTTTAGGTCACTGATGTGCAGTGAATGCAGGCTAAATAGAAAAAATATATATAAAATACAAATTATACATAGAAATAAAACTAGGAAATTTTTTTTCGAAGACTATAATTGATACTTATTACTATCTCTGAAGTTTTCCTAGAACTATTTATCCTAGGAAAAGAAATACAAAATTTAAAAGTAAGTTCATTATATTTCTCACTGAAAATATAGCTTTGTTCTTTAAAAGTTGACTCATTTGTGTGGCATGAAAAGAATGAATTGTGTCATATAAGTGAATCCACTAGGTAGCTAAAATCTAATCTTTAAAAGATAAAATGTAGAACATGGAAACTTTCGGATGGAGATTTTTCTAAAGTGTAGGTTCCCAACCATAGTAAACAGGAACCCTTTGTCATTACTTGGTCTTGATAATATACATACGTTTTGTTTTTGTAAATTGTAGTTTAAAAATGCATTTGCATCTCATTTGCCAGGTAATTTTTGTTTGGTGATTCTGGTCTTTTAGGTATACTTGTGTGCTCTGTGTATCTAGATTAAGTAAATTGTTCTTTCTGGTTTGTTGTTCCTAATTGACTGTGACTTGAGAAAAGAGAATTAATTTGACTAAGAATAAAAGTAATTCATAAAAGAAATTCTAGCTGGGCAACAACCAGGTTTGCAATCCTAGCTACTCAGGAAGTGGAAGCAGGAGGATCACAAGTTCAAGGCCAGCCTGGCTAATTTAGGAAGACCTTGTCTAAAAATAAAAAAAAACACTGGGCATGTAGCTCAGTGATACAGGCAGCACAGGCAGCTGGAAACTATTTAACTTTGTTTTTGAGCCTTGAGGGGCTAATGAAGCATTTGGCCAGTAGTAATGGTATTACCTCCTTTAGGAAGTAATAATTAAATAATTACTATGTGCCAGGGCTCCATGTGTATTAATATTTGCTTTTAATCCTCATGACCCCTCTGTGAGCATTCTCATTTCATTAAGAAAACTAAGGTGAGACAAATTAAGTGCCTTGCCCAAGGTCACAAAAAAGAGCTAGGATATAAACCCACAAATTATCTCCAGAGCCTGTACTCTCAACCAGGAAAATAAATCTAGTACAGCAGTGTAAAGAATTAATTCGAAACTGGAGACTGGATCAGAAACTAGTATGAAAAAGGTTGTCATAATTCAAGGAAAAAAAAGAAATACCAGCATGCATGAAGTATAAATAATTAAAAGGGAATTCATTCTGGTGTGGTGTTTTGGCTTCTAAATCAGTGCTCTTGTCTAGTTCAGGACTGAAGTGGATGTTAGTGGAAAGGATTTTTGTTCACTCAAGAGCTCCATAGTGGTGAATTATAGTTGTGTGGTGTGCTGCCTGATGTTGTTGATAATAAAACTTTAATGGTATAGATGCTTGAAGATGGAACAGAGTAAAATAAGTTGTGGAAGTTTGGACATAGTACTTTTTTGAGGTTTACTTTGGCTCTTTAATTCGTCTGTACTTGAAATAGATACCTTCTAGATCTGCAGATTCCATTTTTTCATACCTAGAAGCACCAAGATGGACCAGAAATGCAAAGTGGTGTAATGACTATGCTGTCCAAGTGGGTACTTAAAGAAGTACCATTTTTTATGACTTAAGTTAAACTGAAATCAGTCACAAGATGAAAGAAAGGAAATTATTCATGCTGGTAAAATTAGTTTCAATGTTATGTTCTTATGAACTCTAAAGGGGTGAATAAAGTCATATTTAAAGAAAAAATTTTTTCCTTATAGAATGGCATTCACATGTTCATTTTGTAAATTTCGAACGTTTGAAGAAAAAGATATCGAACTGCACCTGGAAAGTTCGTCACACCAGGAAACATTAGATCATATTCAAAAACAAACCAAATTTGATAAAGTAGTTATGGAATTCTTGCATGTAAGTAGCTGTTTTAGATGTGAGAAGCATTTTGTGATCTGAATTTACTTTATGTAAGTTTCCTGCCTCTCTTACTGTGTTTCTAAAAATTGAATAATTACTCTTTTAAAGAAAGTTATTTTAAAATTAACCCAGAATTAAATCTGAATTCTTCTGTAATAAAGTTTGGATTTGTTATTTGAGAAATTATTTCACATTTCCCACAGTAGTTTCTGGCAAAGGTGTTAGGAAAAAGAATTTCTTAAGAACCATTTGTTGATACAGATTCATACCTATCATCCATCATCTGTCTACTGCATACCTTGCATCGTGTTGACAACTTTAATTCATTATTTCACTTGAGCTTCATTGTAACTCATTTTATCATGATTGAAAGATCAGCTCAGCTAATTGACCCTGTTAGTAAGTGGCAGTCTGTATTCCAACCAAGGGAACCTGGTCTGTTTTTAGTGTCCTTTGTATTGTCAGTATGTGGTCATCAATTTAAGGAGTTTTTCTTTAATGTCTGTGGAATGTGTTGTGTCATACACTGAAGACCACAGACACTACGCTTAATGAGCCAAAAATAATTGGAAATAGAACACATTCACAGATACACAAACGGTACATTTGAATGGAAATGCCAAGAATGCAGATGTACTCCAGGGGCTTGGAGAAGGGAAGGATGTTAGGACCATGAATGCTAAAAGAGACTTGAATTGGACCACTAATTGTACATAAAAGTAATTTTGGCAGGGGAGATGACATTACTAGAAGATTAGAAATACAGTTATCGTTTGGAACTCTATATCCTTGCAAAATTGTGTTCCCTAATTAAAAGTTTTTTCATAATTACTTACCTTAATGGTTTTCTACCATTTGCAAATATTCATCTACCTGAGAAGACCTTTTCACTATTCCAGCTCTGTTTAGTTTTTCTCTATTAGCCTAAAATACATTTTGAAAAGTTAGAACTTTTTGTAATTTCCTTGTGTTTTATGATGTTTTTAACTAAATTTTAAGCTCCTGGAGAACAGATTATAGTTCTTGTATAGTAGATAATGTTGTCTTCCATAGGATGAACATGGTGCTAAGCAAATAACTGTTCATTGAAAACTATTTGGTTTCTTTGTATTTTCTAGGAATGTATGGTGAATAAATTTAAGAAAACATCCATTCGTAAGCAACAGACAAATAATCAAACAGAAATAAAAATAATTGAAAAAGATGTTATGGAAGGTAAATAGATTTTTAAATTTACATGCGTGTTTTATATGTCATGATCTGTTTCAATATAGATGATACCTCCCAGAGTAATAAAGTATCCAGTTGTGTATAATGTAGCTCCAAGTGGGTCATAAGAAATGAACTCCTTTGATGCCCTATTTCCGTGGTTACACATTTATTACTACTACCTACAGTTATCTTCTTTACTTCAATTTAGAGGAGATTTCATGGAAAATACTTCTTTCATTTGTTGTCTCTCTTACCCCTTCTCAAATTTAAATTTGAACTTTACTATATTTCAGCCTTCTTTTGATTCTGTCTCCGAAGCCTATAAACATTTTAAAAAATAAAAATAACAAAATGCGCAGTTGTCCTACAACCAATCTTTTCTTTTTAAACAACCAGGTTTCTAGGGAAGCACTAACACAGCCACACCCCTAGCCCAACAATTGTGTCTAAACATAGTCCACACTGGTTTTGGCATCTTCACCTCCCGTTTATTACTTTATGCTGTCATTAGTCTACAGTAAGTAAACTTCCTGCCATCAGTAGTCTACTGAAGCTGTTCAAACGGAGGTTAGGAACGTAAACGTCTGTAGATTTGTTTGAATCATCTTGGTTAGTGTTTTTCACTACATTCCTCCTTTTTTCCTTGGTTACTTTCTTGGCATCTCATTGGCCTAATGGTCTCTATTCTTTTGCCATTTCTTTTTTTTTTCTTTTTAAATCTTTGTGGTTTTTTTTTTTTTCTCTAAATCAGCCATTTAGAATTTGGTTATTTCCCTAGTACTCTGTCATTAACTGTATTGTTAATCTCCTTCGTGCTTCTTCCTGATGAACTCATTTACTCATCATTTAAATTAATACCTATATGTTGATTACTTTTGCATCTGTATTTCTAGCACAGATCTGTCTTTTGAACTGTAGTTTCATTGATTTCAACTGCCTATTGACATCTGTTCATCAGTCACACAAATCAGTGTAACTATTAATGTCCTTTGGCATGCTGCACCCTGCGAAGAAAACAAGACAAAAATTCCCAAATATCTCTTTCATTGATCTTGAAGTACAGATACATAAGTAGCCCACACATACCAAGTCCAGAAATATGGAAGGTATCCAAGGTACTTTTCTCTGACTATATTTGTAGCATTTTGTCCTGTCAGTTTTCATTTATAAAATATTTATAAATCTGCTTTTTTACATCTTTTAAGTATTGTATTTGTTCAAATCTTTATCTGTTTTCTTGACAGTTGTAATACTTTTCTAACTAGTTTTCTTCTAGCCTCATTTCTAATTCTACCACATGGTCTCATAACTTCAGGAAATTTCAGTGGCTCTCTATCATCTACAGTATAAAGTTCAGATTCGTAGGTATGGCACATAAAACTTTATAACTTAGGTCCTCCTCTTTTTTTATGTTCTCATCCTTGCCCCTTATGCTTTGCCCTGCTATACTGAATTACTTTCAGTTCCCAGAAAGGATTATTTTCTCTTACATGCTTCCATGCCTTATAATGTATTTGTACTCTCGTGTTTAATAAACTCCATTAATCATTTTCAAGATCCAACATAAATTTTGCTTCCTTTACATAAAATTTTGATATCTTTTCCCCTTTCTTTGCACACTTAATTTTTTTTTTTTGTTACCAGGACTTGAACTCAGAACCTTGTGCTTGCCAGGCAGGCACTTGTGCCACTGAGATATATCCCTGACCCACACACCTAAATTCATAGTCATAGATATTCTTATTTTACTACAAAATCATATTTATTTTCTTTTCTATTAGTTTTTTGGAAGGTAGACTGAACCTCATAGCATGAGTGTTTAACATGATTAAGAAATACAGTGTAATTACACCTTACAATTTTAACCACTTACCTATTTATGAGTCTGGTAGGTAAATTCAACATAAACCTACATACTCTGATTCTTTGTTTGAGAAGGGGTATAAACATGAAAAGGAGTAAAATCTATACGCAACACATTAAGTAAAATTCTGTCCATTATGTTACAAGAACAAAAGTATGGTCAGAAGTAAGAGTATATGGATTATTTCTTCAATAGGTGTCACTGCTGATGATCACATGATGAAAGTAGAGACTGTTCACTGCAGTGCTTGTAGTGTGTATATCCCTGCTTTGCATAGTTCAGTTCAGCAGCACTTAAAATCTCCTGATCATATCAAAGGGAAGCAGGTAAGTTTTGATTTTTCTTAATAAAATTCTTGAAATATCCTTCAGTCCTTTATCATCCTTTGATCATTATTCATATCTACCAGCCAGCACACAGTCCTGTTAATCTCAAATCTGCCTAACTGTAGGTGTGCTCAGAGAGGCCATGTCATGTTGTGGTTAAGTTGTGGGCTCTGGAGCAAACTTTCTGGGTTTGAATCTTAATTCCATAAATAATGTGTTAGAGAAGGAAACGAATCTAGTTACTGTTACCTGGTAATAGTAATCATTCAGGAAATCATAGTTGTTGCCAATCTGCATCTTTTATTATTTTTAAAATTGGTAACAGTTTTGTAAACATGTGTTTTAGAACAAAAAAGATTTGATACATTTTTCTAATGGCTGGAATAAATGAATTTAGAAAGTGAGTACTACTGCCATCTATTGCATTTTTTGAGAATATCCTTGAAAAAATAAACTTTTTATTATATTTCTGTTATATTGGCTAACTTTATTTAGTCATACTTATTTCAAGTAATACATGTTTATGTTGTGGGAAGTTATCTGATTAGAAAAGCAGATTTAAAGATTCAAATAGTAGCTGGGGGTGGTGGTGCATTACCTGTAATACCCACTCTGGGTGACTGAGGTAGGAGGATTGCAAGTTTGAGGTCAGCCTGGGCAGTTTCACAACTTAGCAAGGCATTTTCTCTAAATAAATAAATAAATAGAAAGAAAAAAAGGAAGGGAGGGAGGAAGGAGAATAGCAAGGTAGGTTGGTTGGTTCAGGGCTGTAGCTCAGTACAAAGTCCCTGAGTTCAGTCCTTAGTACCACCAAGCCTCCCTTCCCAAAAAAACCCACAAATTTTAATTGGTAATAAAGCATTAAGTTTTAAGTGGAAGATACCTGACTCTTAGTTTCTTATTTTGTATTGAAGTGAACTTCATTTAAATCAGATTTCTTTAGGTGCTTTGAGAATATAGTCTTTTCTTAATTTTTGTCTTTTCTCTTAATATTTCCTAGACACCTTTTTAACAGGTAGATGTTCTATATTACTATCTTTTCTCTGTATAATACAGTCTGATGGTAACTATAACCTAGAGAAAGACTACTTGTTCTTGAAGTAAGAAAAATTACTTTTTTGATAGCATGAACATTAATGTTTGGGGCTGAGGAGGTATATATAGAATAGAAGAGACAGAAAACAACTACATATCTGTAGTAGATCTAGAATTATGATATTTGGGGCCTGTGTTTTTTATTTAAATTTATTAGCTTGTGGATCTTCATTGTTTTAATCATACATGATTTAGATTCTGGTCCTGATAGCTTAATTTGAGCATAAAATATTTGAATTATGTAAACATTTTTAATGGCATGGCTTCCTTGTGCCCTCATTATGCTCTGTTTTTTATAGGCTTATAAGGAACAAATAAAAAGAGAAAGCGTCTTGACTGCTACAAGCATTTTAAATAATCCAATAGTGAAGGCTCGGTATGAACGTTTTGTTAAGGTAAGCTTTGGGGGGCAAAAAGTTTTTAAAAAATACTATAATATTGAAAAAAATAATGACATCATGATAACTTCTTGTGATATTTAAATATAGTGTAACGTATTGGGAAGAATTTTGCTTCATGTGGTGTGTATAGTTCAAATATGTTTTTTGCATTGTTGAGGTTGTGGTAGAGTGGAAAATGATTTGTCCTTTATACAGAGTTGGACAGAAGTTAAAAATGTCAGTTTTATCCTTGGTTTAAAAAAATGTGACTTGGAGAATATAAGGGCAATCAAAGTAAAGTATACAGTGAATGTTTAAAGTAAACAAAGCTATTGCAGTAAAAGCCCCTCAAAATACTCCTGTATGTTTCAGACACATCACGTTGTTCTTGCTACTTTCTTGTTTTTGTTTTTTTCCGGTACCGGGAATCGAACTCACGACCTTGTGCTTGCCAGGCAGGCGCTGTGCCACTGAGCTAAATCCCCAGCCCACTTGCCACTTTCTTGAAGTGGTTCTAGAAGTTCTCTTTTTTGAGTATCTTTATGATAGGTGGTGAATGCTATTGTCAAGTGCCATCCAGTGGAAAAGCAGTCTCATAAAAACTTTAGGGTGTCTCCTGATCCATCTTATTCACTGAATCTTGCACCAGGAGACTTCTGGCTCTTCCCCAAAGTTAAAATGACTGTGAAAGGTAAATATTCTGAATTGACTCAGGACACCAAGACAGCTGTGATAGTGCAACTTAGTCACTTTCACTTGTGCTGGGACAAAATACCTGATATCCCCAACCTAAAGAAAGACAGATTTATTTTGGTTCACAATTTCAGTTCCTGGTTAGCTGGCTCTGAGACAGATATGCATGGTGGAAGAGTGCTGAGGAGGAAGCTGCTTTCCTAGGAAACAGAAGGGAAGAGCTGGGGAGGGAGATAAGGTTCACCATTCCAGGTCACAGCCCGCCCCAGGCTATACCTCCCAGCAGCACTTTCACTGGCTGAACTCACTAGTGGATGAATCCATTGATGGGTAGAGCACCCCATAATTAAAGACATGACAAAGGACTTCCACAAGTGCTTCAGAAAGTGGCAAGAATGATGGGGTAAGTATGTTCAAGGCAAGGAGGACTGGTTTGAGAGAGACAATATATCTTTTGCTGTAATAAATTTTTTAAAAAGTTGAACATTCACCATACTTTTGGATCATACCTTGTCTTACATATATAGTTACTAAGATCTGTAATGTTCCACTTTTAAGTTAGACTTGTCTTCCCCCAGCTTCTGTTACCGACCCAGCTGTAGGCTTCCCATAGTTGATGTGGCATAGCATAGACTAGAGTACCCTTTGTGTTGGTAGGAAGACCCAGAGGGGATCCGGAAGGGATTGAGTCCTGCATGTCCACTGTTTTTTTTCTAGCACACTAGTTAGATAGCTCTTCCTTCTATACTGTGGATAAAAGTTAGAGGGGAAGCAGAAGGTCAGGTAAGTTTCTGCAGAGGATGCTCCCTCGTGTAATCGAGAGGCTAGGAGGTTTGCCTCTTCATACTAGGAAACTCAGATGTAAACAGTTCTGGCCCTCATTGTTATTCAGGGATTTTGTCATATATTATTGATGGACAATTCCCCTCACCATTGGACACAGGGCCTTTGCACTGAGCTACATCCCTAGCCTTTTTGAGTTTGTGTTTGTTTTATTTTTTATTCTGAGAGAGAGTCTTGTTAAGTTGATCAGACTGGGCTTGAACTTGTTATCCTCCTTCATCTTCTCAGAGTGCAGGGATTACCATCGTGTGCTATTATGCTGGGCTTTCCTGATTCCTTTACATAAAGTTGATTGTGTAGTATTTTTCAGGAAGCTAATAGAAATATATTGTAGAGATTTTTAGCTTTCATAATACCTAGTTTAAAAGAGAACTGTTATCTTGAAGATTCACAAAAGTCTGTTACTTACATCAATAAATGTTTATTGTATAGGTAAAAGTTTATGTTGGCTTTTGTGCTGCTTAATACAAAACTCTGAAGAACCTGATATATATTTAGTGATCATTAAATATACCCTCAGTCAAGTAACTTCCAAGCTGAATAATTTCAGTTTTTTTGGGTTGTTCCTTATGAATTTATTTGTTTCATTAATTGTGTTTGTCACTGTTTACTGCATTGACGTAGTTTTTAAAAAATTAGCACAGCCCTGAATTGAGATGCAACGTATGGCAGATATGGCATGAAAAAGGCAGTAACTAAACAGACAATAGCTAAATTAGGAAAAATTTAGGGTTAGAGTCTCAAGAAGATCATGGTTTCTGTAAGTTTTAAGGAACAAGTTGGTATTTGAGAGGGGGAGGCAGAACTGGGTATTGAACCCAAAGCATTTGTGCTGAGCTACACACCCAATCCTTTCTATTTTAAATTTTGGGACAGTGTCTTACTAAGTAGCTAAGTTGCTTAGCTGGGCATGAATTTGCAGTCCTTCTGCATCAGCCTCCCAGAGTGCTGGGAGTACAGGCATGTGCTGCCAGGCTTGCAAATTACAGTTTTTGTGTCGTGTTTTCAGGTACATAATTGATTCTCTTTATGCATGGGAGACCATTGGTTGAGGGATGTCTCGCTCATGTGAGTAGAAGAAACACCTAACTTCAGGAGGAGAGTGCCTCTTGAACCCCATAAATCTGAATACAGTCCCTGGAGCTGGTGTTCATTACAATGTAGAATTCCGGGTCATATGCAGGCATCATGTATGAGAATCTTCATTATAACAAGATCCTGGTGATTTACCTGCCAGTTAGCATTCCAGAAGCCCAGGTGTCACATTATTCAGTGATTTACCTTTCTTCAACTTTTCTGTTTGCTCTGTTCCCTGTTATCATTCCCCAGAACATTCTTTGCTGGTAGAGCTGTCATGGTTTGAAACTACTTTCAGGTGTTCTTAGTCTGGCAAAAATACCCTTTTAAACTTGTCCCCATTAAAATAATCATATCATCAGTTTCTTGTAATTTTTCAGTTGTGTCATCTTATTCTGCCATCATTCCTGTCCTGGATATTCATGGTCATCCCTTTGAACATGTAGTGTTGCTTTTCAAAAATTCTTAATAGTTCCTAGCACTATTCCACCTGTAGTTGGCTGTTTCATTCTTCCTTGCTAACTGAAATATCATGGAGGTTGGGGTTTTGAACATAGCAGAGCAACTCCCTTGCAGCAGTTTATTGAAAGTCAGACCTCAACACAAGGGTTTATTAAAAAGAAGAAAAGAAAATTGCCAAGGCCCTTTTTCAGACCATCTGATAGGTTTCTCAAACTTTTGAGATTAATATTGCCTGAAATGCTTTTTAAATATAGAGGTTACCAGGCTTTTGCCCTGGGAATTTTGATTTAGGAGATCTGAGATTGATTCAGGAATTAGTGTTTTTAACAAGAGCTCTAGTACTTGACTAAATTGAAATTTTAGAATGGGGAATCAGGCTTGTGTTTCTCGCGAGCTTCACATGACAGTATATCCTTGGGATAGCTTCTGCTGACTCCCACGTACATTCTACTTTTGAAACTTCTTTTACTCATGATCCAACTATCATATCTAGAGGCCTTTATCATTTTTAACATACTGTTGCTTATATATGTAAAATCCTTAAGAACTTTGATTCAGCTTTAATAATGACTGTAATGACATTTTTCAGTCATTTTCTACTTTCATCTCTTTCATCAGTTATTTGATATTACTGATGTATCTATCACTTATCCTTTTTTGCGGGGGCAGGGTCTCCCAGCTGTGTATTTCAGACTGAACTTTGAACTCACCGTTGTAGCCCAGGCTGGCCTTGAACTTGTGATCCTCTTGCATCAGCTTCCTAAGTGCTGGAATTACAGGCATGCACCTCCACTCCCAGCTTCACTTATTCTCAAAACTCTGTTATGGCAGATATTTTACTATCTTTTTCTTCTGTTTTTTGTTTTTTTTTTTTTGTACAGGGGATTGAACACTGAGCTTCTTAAGCACACACTGTACCTGTGAGCTACACCTCTAGCTGCAGTATGGTTTCTCTTACTATTCCCTTTTACCTTGCACATTGATAGCTGTTCATTTTAAAATATAGCATCAGCCTTCATACTTACCCGTTCATTAATTTGTGCTGCTTCTTCAGTTCTTACTACACTAATGTAATCTGATGTGATCCAATTTATACGAGATTGGATCCAGATACATAGTTACTAAAATAAAATTTTACCTGTGATGTTTTCCAAATGAAAGTCACAGTTTTTTAAAAGTGAAAGTATAGTATCTAGTAGGTAAAATGATACCTGATACTTAAGATTTAAAGAGATACTATAACAATAAAATATTGAATAGTTTTGGAATTAAGTAGAGTGCAAACTTTTGTCTCATCTGTTTTATTTCTACCAAAATGCACATACTTGATTTTTATGTATGATTTTAGAAATTCAGTTCAGAAGAAAATACGGCTTTTAAATACTCTAGTTTTTAAGTATTCCAGTTTATTGAGTATAACATAATGACTTCAGGAAATTATATATCCAAATGGTATAAAGTAGGTACTCAGTAAATGTGTACTGGATATGTCATAAGTGAAAAAACCTCAGATAGTATGTACTTTTCATGACAGAACAAATAAAAATTTCACTGATGAAAAATGAGTGTACTGATTTAAAAAGCTATTTTTCATGTTTTTAGGGTGAGAACCCTTTTGAAAATCAAGATCATTCTCAGGATCAGCAAATAGAAGGAGATGAAGAGGATGAAGAAAAGATTGATGAACCTATTGAAGAAGAGGAAGATGAAGAGGAAGAAGAAGTAGAGGAAGGAGGGGAACCAGAGGAAGTGGAAGAAGTAGAGGAAGTGGAGGAAGTGGGAGAAGGTGGAGGAGTGGAGGGAGAGGGGGATACAGAGGGAGGGGAGGGGGAGGAAGGAGGGACAGTGGGGGAGGAGAGAACAGAGGGGGAGGTGGAGGGAGCTACAGAAGAAGGGGAGGAGGAAGCAGCAAAGGAAGAGCCTGTTGATTTCCCTATTGAGCAACCTGAAGAAAATTAAGTATGAGGTATTAGATTGAAAAGGAGCTTTAAGTTTCTGTCCTATTGTGGAAAGGGGTAAGAGTTTTAATAGCTTAAGGTAATGAATTAACACCCATGTTGCATGCATTTCACACATTGAAATTGTTTTATATAATTTCTAAATGTTTGGCATTTGTTTAATAAAATGGAGGTAATACTATTTTTAGTTTAGTTTTTATAGCTACCAAACTTAGAAGATCCAAAAAATTGTTTGTATAATTTTTAAGCTTAATTTTTATTACTTTATTGGTGTTAAGGATAATAGATGTATATTGTTAGTATATCTATTCTAATCATTTGAATTTAAATGCTGCTCTTGAGTGAATTTTCAAGTATGCATTGATTTTTTGGAATACTTACCCTAGATGAGATAAATTGGGCAAGTATTTTGTGCACCGTGTATTTTTTTACCATTTTGGACATTGATTAGTAATTTGTGTTACGATAGCTTAAAGGCTTTTTGTGTACATTTCCCTTTGTAGCAATAAATTTTTTTTTTAACCAACTTTCTCCTCGGATTAGCAATTCAAATTAAACAGTTGATTAAATGAATACTTAAAATCATTATTTGCCTTAATGTATGAATTCAGCTCACAGGTATTTCAAAATGATTGAGAAGACTTGAATTAAAAAATTTTTCTCAATCATTATTTTTAAAAAGTGTAACTGAACTATATTTTTAAGCACATTTCAAATAGAGGTCAGTCTATAATTGACCTTGTTTATACCTGTCTTAGTTTGTTCTTTTTCCTTGTGCCTGTGTCAAATCTTGGAATCTTCCTGAAAATACATTTGAATATAAATAAGTTTTCCATGGTTGTGTTAGTTCTTTTGTTAATGTCTTTGCCTGAATAACCAAGTAGCAAGTCTTTTTCTTTTTTAAAGAAGTATTACTTTCTTTTGAAATTTTTTTTTCTAACTTTTCATGGCTTCTGTACCTCAAGAGAACATAAGACTGATAGATGATCTATTTTTGTCATTATTTTCAAATGACCATCTTTCTGTATGACTACAAAGCAGTGCTTTTATGAATCTTGAGTCTTTTCAGAGTATGAATTCAAAGGTCAGTGCTTTTTGAATCTTTACTCTGTCCTGTTTTAAGGAAGGACTCTATTTCCATAAAATTAGTTCTTCACAAATTTAAGGCATTAGATGTATAAATGTGTGGGCATATTAAGTAATAAAAGGCATGAAATGAATGAAAGTATGGGTATTTGTAGATTATCAGTTTGGGTTTTTCATTTTTTGTGGTATAAAATAAGGCTTAAGTGAGATTTTTGCGGACCATTATTTTTTTTTTTTTCAGTAGTGAACTAGGTTTGATTACCTTTAAGCTGGAAAAATACAATAGGCACTTAGATCCAATTGAGTGATTTGGACCCAAATAAGAGAAGGTTAGTTGAAGATTATAAAATTTGGTTCCTATGTAGGCGTCTATTTGGTTAGCAGAAAGCTTTTTTTGCTCAAGAGTTTAAATTTTAAAAATAATAGAACTTGATCAACCTTTTTTCACTTATGTTTTAAAATTCTTATGGAAAGGCTAAGGTTAAAAAAAAAAAGATTTCTCTGGATTTTATTAGTATTTGGTTCTTCTGGCACACTACATTGTGGTTTTTTAAGTAGAAAATCTCTGGTAACCTGATTAAGACATGAAACTTGGAGAGTCCTGGATAACAAGGATCCTGTGTAACAGCTTCTAGGTAAATGTTTTAGAATAAGAGATAGGAAAGATCAACTAAGTGATTTTTAGGGGAAACATAATTCTTTGTAAAGGTTAGTTTATTTGTAAGATATCAATAAAGTATATTTGGTTATTGTGCTTAGTTCAGACATTCAGATTTATGTGTATTCCATTGAATACTTTGTAGATTTTTAGTCCAGTTTACAAGCAAATTTTTGTGATCCTTAGTGTTTATATTATATCTTCATTGCTTTTATAATAAGGATACATAGAAGGTCTTTAATAACCTTTCAACTTCTGTTTTCCAGTGATTACTTGTTTCTTTATTTAAAAATGAGAAATGTAGTTTAATAACCAAAGAAATTTGCGATATGCTGAAATTTTTGTAAAAGTGAGGATTTGAGGGCTCCACTCCAGATTGGCTAAAGCTTATTCTTTGTAAGTGGTACATTTTTAATGAATGTTCCAGGTGATTCTGTAGGTAGTAGTGATTGCAATGTTAATAGGGCTCTCAAACAAATACTTGATGCTTATGATTCTTGCATGAAAATAGGAGCTGTCTGCCCTTCTGTAAGTAAACCTAAGTTTGGAGGGTTTTCTGTACTATTTCATGAAAGCATTGGAATGATCTATAACAGACCTGTGGTGGTCCAAAATTAGCTTTTTAAAAAACATTTTAAAAAATTTGTTGTGAATTTAGTAATAGGACTAGTAGTTTTTTCATATAACAAACTCTTTTACACATAGGCACAGAAAAAAAAACTAAGGCAAATATTGACAGTGTATGTTGAAACATATTTGAGATTTGTTTTTATTTGCAAGGGAAATACATTATTGTCAGGTTATCTTACATATTGTATTATTTAACATTTGTTTTGCCTATAACATTGTCCTTGTTTTGAATATAAGCAAACTTTTTTTTTTGGTGATAAAATACATGTAGCATTTAATTTACTATTTTAACCAGTTTTGAATGTACAGAATTGAGTGTATCAATTATAAGTACATTGACATCTGTACTTCTTTTTTTTTTTTTTTTTGGTTTTTCTCCGGTACTGGGAACCGAACTCACGACCTTGCACTTGCCAGGCAGGCGCTTTTGCCACTGAGCTAAATCCCCGGCCCCTTTTTTTTTTTTTTTTTAAGAGACAGGGTTTTGCTAAGTTGTACAGCTGGGACTTCAACTTGGAATCTTCTTGCCTCAGCCTCCCAGAGTGCTGGGATTACAGGTGTGTGTTGTCACACCTGGGTTTGACATCTATTAAAGGGAAGTATGAGCAGCCTAGTTACAAAGTTTGAGTTTAGGAGAGTTCCAGATCTTTCAGTTGCTATTTGCCAAAATTCTATTAAATTACAGAAAAAATACAATGATAAAAAATCACAGTAATAAATCAGTGACTACACTAGAAAACAAGGATGCTGTGATTTATTTCTAGAAGACAGAAAAGAATCAGATCATAGTGAAACGAAGAGAGCCAAGGAGCTAACAAGCACATATAGATAATAATTAAGGAGTTGGTGGCTATAGTGTGTGGTAAGCCAGGTTTTTAAAAAAGGGCTAGTTAGTCCAATCTCTAGGGGCATAGAATTCCTCCAAACTAAAGCCATAATAAACACCCTGCTGCCTGCCAAATAAAGTGGGACTCAGCATTTATGGAATGTGTGTGTGTGTGTGTGTGTGTGTGTGTGTGTGTAGTTAATATCAAAGTGTGACAGTGCCCTAGGCATTAGAAACCTAGCGGTTAGAAAGCTATCACCTGTAGGCTTTTCACTAGTATTTTTGTGTAAATTGTACATTTTTCAGGGGCTGTGGAAAAAAGTACATGAAAGATCCTGTGTTTGTCCCCAAAGCCAAACCTTTGCAGAAAAGGTGTGCTGACCCATGGGTTCTTGTTTACAAAGAGAAGTACACAACTAAGAAACAACAATAGTTCAGTAAAAAAGCAGCATGAAAGAAGAACCAAATTTAAAGAATTCTTGGAGAAACAATGCAGAGAAAAATAGGGGTAGAGTAAATGTAATTAATATTATATGAAATAATAGTACTAAGTACAGATTTATGTGTAAAACGTATATTACATGCTATTACCATAATCTTCAAGGACATTCCAGAATAGTGATGGCAGACCTTTTAGGGACTGAGTGCTCAAACTGTAACCCCAAACCCCCTTATCACTGAGTGCCAACACTACCCCTCTTGGCACTGTTACCTGATGCTCAGCTGCTGGGTGATGCTGAGGTGACCTGGCTCATGTGGCCTCTGTCTGTCCACTGTGGCACATGTGCTGTAGGTTTACCACCACTGTTCTAGAAGTTATTGCAGCAATTTAAGCTGCAGAAACTTAAGGAAATAAGTCTTGGAAATAAAAAAGAACAGGTAAAATAATACTTAGGTTGCTCAGTTGAATAAATATGGCTGAGAATCAGATTATTGAGCTAGAATTTTGAGCTGAGAGAATTGTACAAAAAAAAGACATAGACCTGTGTCTTAAAGTTTTTGACCAAATGATTGGATGTATGTATGTAGTAGTTGCAGAAGATAAAACAGAAAAAAAGAACAAAGACAAAGATTTTCCAATGAAAGGTTCATAATAAAAGGTTGAAATGGTGAGCAAAAATAATGAAGGTAATGTAGGATAAACCTTGTAATCTCATGATTAAAACATCTGAAAAAAAATAGTTGACCTATAAGGGGGAAAAACCACATTATCTCAGACTTTTCATCTGTCTATTCACATGTTAGAAGTTACAACTATTTTTAAAGTTACAAGGGCAAATTATTTTGAATTCAGATTTGTACCTTAAAAACTCAATTAAGAGTGATGACACAAGGATATTTTAACAGACTTAGGTCATGTAGGCATTCAGAAATTAACTCATGAAATTGTTCACTAAGCAAATTATAGTATGTAAAGTGCGTGTAAACATGGAGATACTGACGAATTTGCAGTCATAGCTAAGTATGTGAGCATAGCTTTCAGAAGTTCTCAGATACTGAGTTCAAAATTGAAATATTTTGAATCATGAAATTCATGATTTGAATCATAAAATTCAAATTTTAATGTAGTGTGTTTTCAAATACTGTGAAAGACAAATGACCATGAAGCTAACCCTAGAAAAATTATTTTTGTTAGGTAGAGACCACACAGGTGTCATACTGTCATTCTAATACACTAAAACTAGATATTAACAAGAGGATAGCAGTATGTCCATTAATAATAAATCTAGTCAGATTCAAAACATTGCTTTTGTAATGCTCTCATTTAGAAGGAAATAACTGAATCTTAGGTAAGAGATCATTTTAGTTAAACTGTTGTAGATCACACAAAATGTTGAAATGTTTAATCTCTGAAGCTAGCATGACACTTCAGAAAACTGTTTACAAAAGATAGTCTTTCTTAGGAACAGATACAGTCATTGAAAAATACATAGTTACCAATTAAATCCTAGAAAAATGATGTACCATGAGAAAGTAGGGTTCACACAAATACTGCACATAATTAATTTAACGGTCTAGTAGAACATCTGAAGGCTGAGGCACGATTGCAAGTATGAGCCCAGCCTGTGAAATTTAACAACTCTGAGAGATGTTTCACAGTAAAAAGGTTGAAAAGGCCTTGAGATGCAGCTCTGTGAAGGCTCCTGATTCAGTCTTCAGTACCACAAACAAAATGTAGTACAGTAATACCTCAGTTCATGAATGCCTCCATGTGCAAACAGTGCAGTTCACAGAAGTGTTTGGCGGAATACTACTTGTGTTCACAAACTACATCAGGTGACAAACATGGCCACGGGCATCTCCCCTGCACAAACATGCAGCCGTCTTCCTCCAAATCATAAAACAAAAAAGTGGGTAAACTGAGGTACCAGTATATTATTGCTTTCAGTAATACTAGGCTCAAACTTGTCCCCTACCTTAGCTTCTCAGACTACTGTAACTACAGAAACAAAACCACTAAATGAGGGAAAAGTCACAAGATAATCTTGATAGATGCTGAAAAAGCATTTCCTAAAATGAATGTTTATTTCAGATTTAAATTTTGTCAAACTGGGAATAGAAGGAAACCTTTTTAATGTGGCTGAGGACGTCTAACAGGAAGCTTCAGTAAACATGTTCCAGTCTGGATCAAGGCAA